ACAGGTGCGATGACCCCATCTCCGGCCAAGAGCTCCAGCGGGTTCTCCCCGCTGTACCGGAGCAGGTCCCTGCCTCCGGTACCCGGCTCAAAGCACAGAGCACCGTCGAGACTAGAAAGCCTGGACTCGAAGGCGTAGGCGCGGTCCTTCCGCGACCTACTGTAGTCTTCGCACCTGGGGATCTTAATCCCAAGGGTTTCCAGGGAGTGGCAGTCAGGAAGGGGCTTGAAGCCCAAGCCCTGCCGTCCCGAGCAATCCAAGGCGCGGCCGCCAAGGATGAGCCCATGCCAATCCGAGGTTCCTTTCGCGGCTATTTTACAGCGCACGAATATCTCTGGACCCTCGCTGCAGTTGTCGGGGGAGAGCCCCTCCAGAAAGCGGACTCTCAGCACGACGGCCCCCTTCAGGGGCACCGGCTTCCCTGCAGCGATCCCATGGACGAACTCCGGATGCACCCAGCGTTCGAACTTCACGACAGGAAACCTCCGGTCCTCCGTGCCGATCCCCAAGGCAGCAGCCCGGTTGAGGATCCCACAGAGGAGTTCCTCCGTGATGTGGTTCGAGCCTGCACACCCGTCCAGCATGCATTCCACCATGCCGTCGATGACCTGCACGACTGTTCTGTACTGGTACCCCCCGACCTCGTTCTCGCAGAGGTGCCACCAGTCCTGAGGCAGCTCGTCCAACGAGCTGAACTTCGACGACGAGCTCTTGGCAAGCGGGAAAGCGGAGGAGTTCGCCGCAACAACCGTGCCAGCGCTCCCAATCTGGATGGAGAGCGTAGCGAAGGGATTCACCATCCCGGCGCCACTCGGGGCCGCCCAGTTCGAAGGCAACGCGGCTCCCCCAGTGGCGGGAAGCGAATGGACCATGTCACAGTCCGCTCCCTTACGGCACGACCCGTTCTTCTTGAAGAAAGGGCAGATAGTCCCTGGCGGCTTCGCGCCCGCCTTGGACTTCGCCTTGGGCTTGGCCTTGGCCTTGCCTTTGGGCTGCCCTCCGGGTCCACCCTTGCCCTTGCCCTTGCCCTTCCCCGGCGTTGTCGCCAGGGTGGACGCGTCCCGCTCCTTCTTGGCCGCGAGGGCCTTTTTGCGGAGCTCCTTGTCGTGCGAGTAAGGGCACGCGTCCCCTTTTGGGCAGTTCCCGTGGTCGCGGAAATGGAAACAGATAGGCTTACCTTTTCCATTTCCTTTCGGACCAGCGGCAAGCGTGGAAGAGGCGGCCGCCTTGGCCGCGGCCTTAGAAGCCTTGAGCTCCGTCCTCAGCTTCTCGACCTCCTTCCGCGCGGCGGACAGGGCTGGGTCTTCCGTCGAACCTGCGTACACGCTATTAGCCGTCACCCGATGCGCAGCCTCACGCTGCTCATATTCGAGGACGACCTTATGCGCTTCTTCCCAGGTCGAAGGGCCTCGAAGCCCTGCGGATGCGCCGTCGCTAGGCCACAACCGCTTATCACCGCGGATCTCCTTCTGGAGATGTGGAGGCATCTTGCGCAAGTAGCTTAGGAAGAGCTCCCTCGCTGTCTTGCCAAGACCCACACTCTCCAGCTCCGCGATGGAGGCCTCAAACAGGGGCTCGAACTGGTGCCCTGTGAGACGGCCCTTAGTGAGGGCGACGTGCTCCGCGTCCACCCTCATCTCCTTCTCTTCTCGGCTCTCGCCGAAGACAAGGTGCCGCTGCTTGATCCTTTCGTAAACGGCTTGGGGATTCTCAGTAACTTCCCCGGTCTTGGAGGCAGCCTTGTACACGTTAGTAAAGGTCTTAAGCCTCGAGCCGCGGCAGCGAGCACGAAGGGCGATGAGTTTCTCCCGGAAATTCATCCCCTTGCAGTTGTTGGCAAGGCCACAGACGTCCTCGAACTCTTCGTAGAACTGGACCACGTCCCGGATGTCGGAGCGATCGTCGGTGAGCGAGGGCCATTGGAGGTCCGTCTTCACGGTCGTGATCGACGTCTGACCTCCGCGAGACGCCAAGGCCTCCTTGAGCGCCTCGGTCTGGGCCGCCAAAGCTGCAGCGAGCTCTCCGGCTCCGCCGCTGGCGGAGTGAGGCTCGCCGGGCTTATCCTTCTTAAGCCCTTCGAGCTCTATCTCCAGAGCCGCAAGGCGGGACTTCAGGGGTGAGTCCCCCGGACCAGGTTGCGGATCCTCAGGGATCGCGAGCTGAAGGTCCACCGGGAGAGGCGCCGGTGCTCCGGACTTAGAGCCCGACTCCGCAACGGCGCCCGTCCGGGCCGCCAGGGCCGGGACAGAAGAAGGAGTGCTCCAAACCTTCTCGGGATCGCCGCTGCTCTTGCCTCCCAGGGCCAAGATCAGCTCGCCGAGGCACGAGATCTCCTTCTCGACCTCCTCTCGGTCTTCCGACCCAAGAGAAACCGCGGCAACGGTAAACCTGGTGCGCAGGGCCCGCACCATCCTGGCAGGGTGCCAGTCACCTCCCATTTTGCCGTATTCCTCGGCAAGGATGGTGGCCTTGGTAGTGATCTTCTCAAGATCCTCCACCGTGACCTCTGCCTGGTGCGCCTTCAAGGCCACAACCAGCCTTGAAACCCGCGTCAGGTAATCCGCGACCGGTTCCTGGTCGGGACGGTAGAGCTCCCGCAGGTCCGCCTGCAGGGTCTCCGCCGTGACGGGACCACCCGTCCCAGCAGACGAGGGAGGCCCGGAACGGGCCGGGCCGCCGGCCACCGGCGAGAGAGCAAGCGCACCAACACGGCGCGCCGTCTCGGCCACGTCCGCCGGCGCAGCGGCAGGACGCGGAGCCGGTACCCCGGCCTCCGGCAGAAGCTCTTCAGAGCTGGGGCCCGGATCGCCATCCTGAGCACCCGGGCCCGCTTCCGCAGCTGGAGCTTCCTCATCTTCCTCTTCATCTTCTTCCTCTTCCTCTTCGGCATCGAAGTTGTCGTAGAGGAATTCCATCGTCTCCTTCCACAGACGCTGTTCATCTGCTAGCGTCGTGGATCGTCCGTCCTTCTTCTTGGGGGGACGGGACCCCGTTTCCTTACGCCAACGGAGCCAGTACATAAAGGGCATCTTCTCCGGGTACTCCACTGACCCATCCTCGATGCACCTCAGCAACGTGGCTCCTTCCGGCTGACCTGCGACCTCAGCGCTCATGGTCGCCTAGCGAAGGAGAGAGCCCCGTGCCACACAGGACCACGGCCCCAAGGCGCACGACAAGCGCGCCTTCGAGGCCACGTTAAAAGATTGCGGCGCAGCAGCCGCCTGGGTGGCCGTTTCCCAGAACAGCCCCCAATTGTGGAGAACGGAAACCCAAAGGGGCAGCACGCACCCTCGTTTTCCGTCCAAGCAGAAAGTCCAACGACCGTGACAGGTCGAACGTCCGCCTTGGACGGGCTGCGCGCAATTGCGTCGCGGCAACGAGAAGCTACCAACGACACACTGCCGTGCTCACTTGAGCCAAAAGTGTTATGAATACGAATTACAGAAGAGCATGCATAAAAGCATACAGCACAACAGCCAGCCCGCAGACTATGTACAGTTACAGGTTTAGGGTTTAGGGCTTACATCATAAGGATCCAGGGTACTCTAGTAGGGTCCCAGGTCCCCTATATTCGGAAACTCCCAAGTAGGAGCCTGATTAAGAAACCTATGTAGTTACTACCCAGAGGCTCCATAGTAGTTCCTTGTTTGGGGTTCTTATTTAGAATCCTATACTATATAATCCCAAAACGGAACTACTAGGGAGCCTATGGGCATATCGTAGAATATACTGGAATGTGGGGTTTCTATGATGGTAGTTACTGTTGTGTTTTGGGGAAGTCTTCCTCATAATAACAGCTAGTACCTAGGACCCTTTGGGTTAGGGTGCCTTGAAAGGACTCCGTCTTCAGGGCTCAGAGTCTTAGGGTTAGTAGTAGTAGTAGTAGTAGTAGTAGTAGTAGTAGTAGTAGTAGTAGTAGTAGTAGTAGTAGTAGGAGGAGGAGGAGGAGGAGGAGTAGGAGGAGGAGTAGTAGTAGTAGTCGTCGTAGTAGTAGCCGTCGTAGTAGTAGTACTACGGTGGATGGACAAAATCCTGCATTACCCATAGTAAGGAATATACCATAATTCCCATAGTGTAGGGTCCTTAGGGTAATGCAGGATTTTGTCTATCAGCCGTAGTAGCAGTAGTAGTAGTAATAGTTGTTGTTGTTGTACCTTCCTTCCTGCCTTCCTTCCTGTCTGCCTGCCTGCCTTCCTTGCTTCCTTCCTTGCTTCCTGCCTTCCTTGCTTTCTTCCTTCCTTCCTTCCTTCCTTCCTCGCCCTTTCTCCCCGCCTTCCTTGCTTCCTTCCTTCCTTCCTGCCTTCCCTCCTTCCTTCCTTCCTTCCTGTCGTGCTTCCTTTAATAAGGGAAAGTTTTTTTTTGATTGAAAAAAAGTTTTTTTTTGATTGAAAAAAAGTTTTTTTTTGATTGGCATCCCACAAAACCAACCCTTATCTCAAACCCTACGACGCTAAACCTCTAAACCCCTAACCCCAAACTAAACCCAGGGTCTACAGGAAGTTCGAGATTCCTCGCGGCTTCAAGGATGTGATGTGAGGGTTGGGAGTTTTTTTGCTCCAATCGAGTTTACGGTTCGGGATACAGGATTTAGGGTTGTGTTGAGGGCATGTGGGCTGTAGTGGTTTGGGCTTAGATGCCCAGGCGAGCACTGAATGGTACAAACAGGACGAAGGAGCATGATGAAATTCCCACCTCCAACCGCTGAAACCCTGCATCCAGAATCCTGAAGTCCCCTGCTTGGAATAGGTAAGCCAGCAGGGGCAACAGAAGCGAAGCATTGCCAACTCCATTCCCTTTACCCCGAGCAGCAAAGACTTCGTCTTCGCGGCACCTCTTGTGACTCAACGAATGTTGTCACAGCACAGACGCGTCGATGTCGTTTTCTCAATGAGGTAACTTGAGATTGTCCCGTAGGCGTGTTATCTACTCTGGGCCCTATTATATTATACTATGATATACCCCTGAACTTTATTCTGGCTCTTGCGGCACGCTGAGAGCGCCTGGCTGAGAGCCACCAAAGCCGTCTTCGGGTAGCCGTGCTCTTTCAGCAGCCGCGCGCAGCCGACGACCTTTGGAGCGAACTCAGATAGAGTACCGTAGAAAGTACCTTATTTTGGGGCCCTTATAATAAGAATCCTACTATTTAGAGGTACCATATTAGGGTCCCTCAGCTTGCCGTTGGTGCCTCGGGCCTTGAGAAGGGTTATACACATTTGCATGGTTGCAGACAACAAAGAGATTGTATGTATGTGTGTATGTAGTGTACCGTATACATGGTGTGTATGTATGTATATATATATATATATATATACATATATATATATATATGTAAAAACGCAGGTACATCTATAGAACCTATAAACATAGTGCGTTGGTGCGTATGTAGAGGTATGTATGTTTACTCCACTTTTTGTTTGTACATACACACCTTCTATTTGTTTGTCTTTCTACCTACCTATCTATCTCTCTGCCTGTCTCTAAATCTGTCTCTCTGTCTCTCTGTCTCTCTGTCTCTCTGTCTTGCTTGCTTGCTTGCAAGGCGTGTGGGAGGTAGGGTAGGCCCCTGCACCCACTGTCCGTGTCTTGTGCGAGACGTGTGGTTGATGCTCGGCTAGGTTTGTTCCCCGACACCTTCAAGTTACCGCAGTTCAAGCTCCGCCTAGCCGAGCACGCTTGTGTCTGTGCGGGCTGTCCGTAGGTTTTCTACGGCTTTTTCAGCCTTTGTCCCCGAGCTTGCTGTGTAACAAGGACCATCGCCTCATAAGGTGTCCTGAAAAGCTCACTGAAACGACGTCTTCAGCTCGGGACGGCCCCAGTACAGCACTCTCTCCTAGTTTTGTTGCCGGTTTGGTGGACTTTATGTTGCTTGTGTCAGTGCCGGTCCCCGGAAGGAAGCAGCACTGTCTCTCTCTATCTGTCCATCTACCTACCTACCTATCTAACCATCCACCCATCATCTATAATCTATCCATCTATTTGACACTGCACAAATGCGGTTGCGTGAGACGGATGTCTAAGGTTGATTCCTGACACCAAGGATCGAATGCAATTCGTTGGTGTTGCGCGGCCGTGGCAGTGTATTGCGGTTTTTTTTCCGGGTTTCCATGCCGTTCCGCCCGGAGTCGACGGACCCAAATCTAAAAATCCACTAACACCAAGCTCCAAAGCCTAGAACCCTTAAGTCCCTAAGCCACCTGAAGCCCAAAGACAAACGAACAGCCGACAAAGTCGCCGTACACTTCAAGCCAACTGGGCTCGGGACACTCTCACGGATGCGCGTGGAGCTAAGGGCCTTGGCAATTTGCTCTGGCAGCCGTGGCACCATATAAGGGTGTTGGAATTCGGGTATGGGATGCAGAGTTTGTGGTGTACAGGGCGTGGGGCATCATGTACGGTTCAGGATGTAGTTCGAGGGTAACTCAGGGAGCCGAAGAAAGAGGCCGTGGACCGTGACCTCTCATCAAAGTTAGGAAGAAGCCTGCTGCAATCTTGTGGACATGCCTCACTGACGGCGGAATGGGCGAAAATGGAGGCTGCTCCTCTGAGCTGGTAGAGGCCAAACTGTAAACCCTACATCCCAAATCCCAGATGCTGCGTTTGTAATACCAATGCGGAGCCCCCTAGGCCCGGCAGCCTACTACACCCCAGGACCCAAACTGGACCACGACAAAATCGTAGAAACCCCCCCCCAACCAAGTCACAAGGTATTCTTTCAGGGTACTATCAAGGGTACTATTTTTGCAGCGCCGGTGCCTCGTCAGGCCCCGCTAGTGCCGGGAGCAGGAACAAGGACGCCACGCCCGCGGCAGCAGAATTCTCCTAGTCAGGGGTAAAGTTTGTGGTTGAGGCTGGTTCAGGGTCCAGAGTCTAGGCTTTAGGGGGCTTCTTCCTGCGGGTGCAGCTCTGCAGGGTTTAGAGGCTCAGGCGTTGGCGAAATCCCCAGAGCCGTAGCCCAAAGCCTAAGAACTGAACCAAATCCGATTTCGAATCCCAAAGCCTGAAATGCGGACTGAACGGACCGGAGTCGCCTCAAATCACCTCTCAAATCCACAAGGAAACACTTCGCACTCTAGGAGTCTAGACCAGACGCCTCACCAACCGAATCCCCACACACCTTAAACCTGGAACCACACACCCTGAAGCCCCAAGCCCTAAACTGCCAGACTTTGTAGCTGGCACGAGGGCCTCTAAATGAGGGACAGCGGTGTAAAACCTAAATGGTGGAATCCGAACTTCTGAGACCTCCAACAGATAAGGGATCCCTGTTCTTCTTAAAGTTTTCTGACTCAAAAACTACACAAACATCTCAGACTCAACAACTGCACCCTTTAAAATCTACATGACGCAAGCTCCATAAACCTTGAACCCTAAGCCCTAAGCCATAAACCCTCAGCCCCAAAGCACACAAACCGAGCATCGAAGGATCCAAGGGATGATCCGAGTAGTTCCTTTTCCCGATACCTGGGGGGGCTCAGGGTTTCTCAACCCTAAACCTTAAACCCTAAACCCTCAACCCTAAACCCTCAACCCCTGAACCCTAAACCCTAAACCCTCAACTCCTAAACCCTAAACCCTAAACCCAGCGTTTGGGGCTTCAGGGCTTCAGGGGTTAGGGCTTTTGGGCCTCAGGTTAGGGCTTGGGGGTTAGGGCATCTGGCCTTTAGGTAGCGCTTTAGGGCTTCAGGGTTTCATGCTTTCGGGTTTTAGGATTTAGAATTTTTGGAGTGCAAGGGCTTCAGGCCTCAGAGAGGCTTGAGACTTTAGATTGAGGCTGCGAGGCTCATGTATTCCGAAAACACATCCTGATTTCTTAGGCCCCTACGACATCCAAAAGAGGGGCGGGCCCGATCAGATGCAAAAGAACCTCCAGGTGGGGTGTAGAGAGCAGCTTCGCTCAAATGTCTGCTGCCATGTCCATTGTGACACTTCGCAGAGTGGCTTAGGTTCGCGAGGCGGGGGTTTAGCGTTTAGGGTTCGAGGCTTCGAGGCTTCTGGTAAGACGGTTTAGGGTTTAGGGTTTAGGGTTTAGGGTCGAGGATTCTTGTAAGTGCCATCCCGGCTTCTTGATCGCCACCTGCGCATCAATCTGGAAGCTTCGAAGCGCCGAGAGCAAGGCACTCGGATCCTGGCTCAGCTGGATGCTCTCCGCCTCCAGGGATGCCGGGGTTCAAGCCCTAAGCCAAAAAGTAACGGCAGCATGGTTCCTCTTAAGGGGTCTTTAAGGTAGAAGGGTACGAAAGCCTTAATGACTAGAATAGGGTTTTGGTGCCCATGATACTTTATTGTAATGAGGACCCCCCAGTATAGTATAGGTAATTATTTAGGCCCCGGCAAAAAACCGCAACAACCCTGCGCTCTGAGGCCTAAACCCTAAAGAGGTGGGGGGTCGTATTTCGGGGTCCTGAAGCAGAAGGAGACCCCCGGAGTCTCTCTTCTGAAAGCGTCAAGCTCGCAAACCCCCAAAATCCCAAAGCACACACAGAAATCCCCTACCACAAACAGAAAACCCTGCAAAACAGAACGCATAAAAACTGAGAGGACCCTGGCGCCCTCCTGCCGGGAGATAAGGACCAGGTCGGTCTTGTCCAGTAGCTCGGCGGGGTTGTTCCAGGAGGCCATTCCTGTTTCAGCTCTCAGCTTTAGGAGGGGCGAAGACGAAGACAGGACTTACATGTGCGCCAGTCCCCCATAATTCCCATGTGAACGTTTTTATGGTTACCGGGGGACTGAGAAGCTCCTGCGAGGTTGTCCACGCCGAAGACGGCGGCCAGCCGCTGACCATCCTTTACCAGCGGCGAGTGGGCCGCGAAGTGGTTCAGCAATGCCTGCAACAGTCGAGAAAACCCGAACCCTAAACCCCAAGTCCGAGAACGATGAATCCAAACCCTGCACCCTAAATCCCAGACCCTAAATTCTTTCCGCTTGGCTCCACTCCACCAAAGGCCCAATTCCGATCTCTGCCTGTTGTTGCAAACAATATGATGTCATCTCGCTTGGCTCTCGAAAAACTTTGATCCTTAACAACACTTAGGGGAAGCGAACTAAGAAACTCTTTTAGGTCTCGTAAATTGAAGAGGGGAGCATAGCTCGCCCGAGAAACTGGCGGAAAGCCTCGGCGCACATCATCTGATTTCTTCATCATACAAGTAGCATCTGTCAAGCCCCAAGAGCCCTCGTGGCAGTGGAGTGCCTTCGTCGGCACCGTGCGAAGGTAGCCTGCTTGGGCTTCCATGTTTTGGACAGCTCCGGTCCGAGCCCCTGATGTTTTCGAGGTTTGGGAGAAGTGAAAAACCTCTATGGAATGTGCCACCTAGATTCCAGATTGTCATGTTGGAAGTACCTCTGCAACCACGCTGGAGTTGCCTCAGAAAAGCTGCCATCGATCAGAACCTTCTGCACTGTGTGGAACTGCATTCGGAGCCTCTTAGAACACCCTGAAATACCAATTTCGATGCAAATCTTTGCAACTGTTCAGAAAACCTCGAAGCCCCATAGCCGGGGCTTTAAAAACAGGCGCCCGAACCTCAACCCCTGCGACGTCCGTCTTGGACTGCTTTGTTGTCTTCGGTCCTGGGCCCGGGTCCGCAGCAACGGACCCGGAAGGCCCTGTAACGGGTCCAAGCCTTCAGGCAGCCGCGAGGCCCAGTACTTGGGCGAATCTTCAAGAAGCCTCTGCTTGTGATTCATGAGGATTGTTGGGCACATACATACACACATGCATGCATACAAATTCTGAGCATGCATACAGGCATACATAAATGCATAGATGCGTGCATGGATGCGTGGACTCAGAAGGTGGATGTACACATACATACATGCATCCATGCATGCATGCATGCATATGTACGTACGTACATAGCCATGGCAGATGTCGATACCCCGAAGACAATTCTGACCAGCCAGCCAACTACTCTGCACCGCCTATGGCGCACTGTCCTATCGTGCGACCTATGCGCCATTATATACAATACAGCGTTGCCTATGTCCACGCCAGAACTTCTGCCTTGCATGCTACAATCAGCCAAGCAAAGGCAGCCCAGGAGCTGTGTCCCATGCTGCAGCTCATAATCTAGGACATGGCAGACGGCCTTCTGTTGCCAGGGCTTTGAGGCTGTCAGGGTCTCGAAATTTCGGGCTTTCGAGTCAGAGGCTTCAGAGCCAGAGCTACCGTGGAGGCCGTTTGGTTTCTGGGGGTTTGGTGCTCCTTGGCTTTTGGGGCCCGGAGCTTGAAGCTCAGCTGGGCCCCATGCCCTGGAGCGCTCGAAAGCTCCGAGCCTGCCACTCAGAGCGCAATGAGTCTCCCAAAACCACGCCGTTTCGTGTGAGAGACCCTTTTTGGGGAGCAGCTCAGGGTTCCCAAACCCCAAAATTGCTGACGATCGAGATCCCCGAAGACCCTTGCTAGCAAAAGAAGCAAACAGCTGAAAACCCCGAAAAAAGCCCCCTCGCCACCACCCCTTGAAACCCCCCCAACAAAGAACCCTTCATTCGGGTCTGCCTCGGCCTCAGCACCCTCCTGTTTCAGGAGCTCCCGCAGTAGCTCGCATCTCCTGGCGCACGGCGAAGCTGCTCTTTCGGTTTTCGGGCCCCCGCCGGAGGTTTTGGAGCTTGGGGCCTTTGGTTACGAGTTTAGCGGCTCGGCTTTTTGGGAAGTATTGAAAACAGTCATCTTCCGGGACCGAAATCCTATGAAAACCAAGACCTAGTTGGGACCCTCTCGCCTTTTCGAATTTTGTTTCGCAGGACTAAAAACTTCATGCTGGTACTGGAATGGAGTCTGAGTGCACGCTATCATGGTCGGCCCATGGATGCTCTGGCACTGGAACGCATGGGGGTGGACGTCATCATGGTTGGCCCATGGACGCTCTGCAGTAGCGAACCGGGTCTGTGGGGTCTGCATGGACGTCGTCATGGGTGGCCCATGGATGCTCTGGTTCCGACCATATATCACGGAAGGGCCAAAGGCCCGGAGCCCACAATGCGGGGAAGCCCCCTTGGGAGTTAGGATTAGAATAAGGCGCCTTTTAAGAGAGCCAGAAGTAGGGTTCAGAAGGGGTACCCTGTAAGGGGTCCCCCTAATAATACTAGCCACCCCTCTCGAATTCGGACCTCTGAGGTACTCCGAAAGGCTCCCTTTTGTTGGGTTTACCCACCTGGCCATGGAGAGGAAGATCTCGGAGGCCAGCAGCTCCGCTTTCTGCCCGCCGTCTTGGGCGTAAGGGGGGGAGGGGGGGTTTGGGGTTGAAGGTTTAGGGTTTAGGGTTTAGGGATCTTGAGGGTTGAAGGTTTAGGGCTTAGGGTTTAGGGATCTTGGGGGTTTAGGGGCATGGCTGTGGCTTTCGTCCGAGGCCTTTGGGGCTGACGAGCTGGTTCTAGGGGTCTCTTAGACTGGCCTGGTCTGGAGCTCTGGCTCGAATCTTTGCACCCCCGAGATTCCCCAACCCTCCAACAGCCGAAACCTCATGCAACTGACGGCAGTGTCACCACCACCACCAATATACTATGACTACTACGACGACTACCACGATGACTACCATTAAAAGTAGACATAGGAGTAGAAGTAGTAGTACTTGTACTTGTGCTTGTAGTATACTACTCCCACCTGGGCGTAATGGGTGTAGTCCAGCAGCCTTTCATTCGATTCAAGGTGCTAGGCTTGGACTTCGAAGCAAGAGCTTGCTTGTTCAGCATGTAGTTGTCGTGCACGGGCACATAGCAGATCGCGCTCCTTAGGATGTGGGCTCAGTCGAAGGCTTGTCCGGCTGTCAGGGCTAACTTATGCCAATGGTGCTAGGGAACGGGTCGTTAGCTTCTACAGTCTGAGGCCTGCAGCAGTAGATCTGTCGCTTTCTTGTTCAGAAGTACACCACTTCAATGATGCCTCAGGGCTAGGAATTTCTCATATCGTTGCAGAAAGCAGGCCTTCAAACATCTTCGTAAGCTCAGGCACACACAAGCTCGCAGCATGCGTTGCGAAGCTCGATCCCTACATACACTGCCGCTCACTAGAAGGCTAGACGTGTGGCCATTTCTACACCCAACACTCAGAACATAAGGTTCAGGAATTGGGCCTCAGCATTTGAACATACAGCTACCCGGCTGCTCCAGCTCGCACTACTGTTTCTTCGACCAGGCTCCAACCCCGGGACCCAAAGCGCTCAGGGCTCAGGGGTCATGGAAGAGAGGTATAAACCTTATCCTGCCATCTCCCTCTCAACTCCAAACCGCCTTCAAACAGGAGAAGTGGTAACAGTAATACGAAGAACAAATTTAACAACACTGCTTAATTTGGCAACAATATTCATAACCAGGGTCATAATCATCATCATAGTCATACAGCAAGTCATAGTCGTGCTAATCGCAATAATCATGATAATTATACGAGTACTAGACAGGTCGTATTGACAAGACTAACAACCAAAACCCCAGAAGTCCGGGGCTCACATGGTGTCCCAGCTTGCTGAGATGGGTCTTGGTCTGCAGACCCATGCGGACGTGGCCGCGATGAGGGGGGTTGAAGGTGCCCGAGATCCTTGGTTGCTTTAGGGTTTTAGGGTTTAGGGCTTTTAGGGTTTAGGGCTTTAAGGGTTTAGGGTTAAGGGCTTTTAGGGTGTTTAGGGCGTTTGCGCGTGGCTTGGTGTTGTTTTGGGGGCTTTGGGAGAGGAAAGCTTTGGGTTCAGGAGTTCCAGGGTGATCAGGGATGCAAGTTCGGGATTCTGCAGAGCGCCCTCGTACGATGTTACTGTAGTACTGTAGTGTCGTGTCTTTCCTGTTTTGGTGGGAGAGGGGAGGTTTGAGGGTTCGGGCCGGGCTTCGGCGAAAACCCGCAGAACCCTCACATCATCAAGCACTGAAGCCACGAAACCCCAAAAACAAGGCAACGTCGACAAAAGGCAACATATAATCAGTGACGAAGTTCTTCTCGCTGGGACTGAAGGAAACGCCAGGGTCGCCAACACCTCCTAAACCCGATGAAGCAACATTAGACGCTGCAAGACCTGCGAACCGTTAGGAACCCTGTACGAACCACCCAAAAAGCCGATCCCCACAAAGCTTCAGCAGCACATAGCATCGAGGCCCCATGGATGCTGCCGGGCGCAGCGAAAATTGCTCCATGGCACCCAAAACGAAGGCTTCCTCTTTGTGGCTTCTGCTGCTTGGCTCATGTTCCTAGGGTTTGGGATTGTCGTTGTTGCTTGTGTTTTTGGCTTCTGGGCTACTGGGGCTGCAAAGCTTGAGGATGATGCGGTTCAGGCTTAGCGTTCGGGTCGCCCCTCTTGTTTTCAGTGCTTCTGATTCTCATATTCTTACGGGAAAATTCTGGTGCTGGTCTCGCTGTACATAAGGACAAGGGCGTTGGGCTTGTCTCTTATTTACTGCTCTTCCGGCCTGCACGGTACATGCTTGGACGAACAACTCTCTCTTCTCTGAGCGCCATAACACGGACCACTTCTGGCCTTCAGCACCAGCTTGTTTGGGCAGCCTACAGCGGATGTCCTCAACCCGAAGCCCTGCATTCCCACTTCACCGATGGAAGCCCTACTTTCATTAGAGTGGGCTTTTCCCGCTTGGCATGGAGGTATGGCCAAGCTCGCGGAGAGCTGTGCTGGGAAGCATTGCTTCCAAGTGTCGCGCGCGACAGACGAAGGCCCATAGTGTGTCCAGGACCTACGTGCCGCCCATCCCGTGCCTTGGCAGGGGGAGAACAAAATCAACGGCCATGGACATAGCGGGACAGCCCATCGTGTTTCTAGGGACTTGTCCTGCTGTTGTCGTCCACGCCATCATGATGCTGCCACAGTGTGCCTTCAGCAACCCTGCGGGAGCAAAATAAACTGTTAACAACAGAAAAACTGCCCGTCGATCCGTGCTGCGGCTAAGGATACCCTGCAACGGAACAACGAGGCCTGATGTGCTCACAGGCTCACTTATCTCACTTCATCATCTGCTTCACTTTGGATGCAAAGACCTTTCCTTGGCGCCGTGCAATCTTCAGCTCCGTGGCGCTGGCCTGGCGGCTGCCGTCCGCGCCGGCAAATGTGCTGGCACCCCAGGGTGAGCCTCCGTGGATCTCCGTCATGTCGAACTGACCATCACCACCGGCCTGGTAGCCCAGGGGTACATAGATCATGCCGTGATGCACCATGTTGGTCAGCGTGGTCATGTGGGTGGACTCCTGGCCTCCGTTCAAGGTGCCGGTGCTGCAGAAGCTCCCCGTCAGTTTCCCTGCAAGCGCACCGCTCTGCCACAGTGAGCCAGTGCTGTCGAAGAAGGCCTTCATCTGGGCTGACGCGCTCCCGAAGCGGGTGGGGATACCAAACAAGAGGCCATCGTAGTCCGCCAGCTGCTGGACCTTCGCATGATCCATGATCGCGTCCGACGGCTTTGCAGGAGCTCCCATCTTCTTCAGCACGTCGGCACCCAGAAGCTCCGGTGCTTGGAACATGTCCACACTTACGCCCTCCTCCTTCATAGAGGCAGCGATCTCATCAGCCAGCTTCTTGACGTGGCCGTACATGCTGTAGTAGACAATGCAGACCTTCGCCTTCTTCGATGCTGCTGGCGCAGTCGTGCGCTTCACAGCAGTGCCGAAGACTTCGCCCTGCTTCTTAGCGATCTTCAGCTCCAGCGCCGATGCCTGCCGGCTGCCGTCCGCACCGGCCAAAGTGCTGGCACCCCAAGGAGATCCGCCGTGGATCTCGCTGAGGTCAAACTGGCCGTCGCCGCCTGCCTGGTACCCCAAAGGGACATAGCACATACCATGGTGCACAAGCTGCGTGACGGCTGTGAAGTGGGTGGTCTCCTGTCCCCCTTGCTGCGTGCCGGTGCTAACGAAGGTGGCGCCCAGCTTTCCCGCCAAGGCCCCGTTCTGCCAGAGGCTCCCAGTTCCGTCAAAGAAGGCCTTCATCTGCGAAGCCATCATGCCGAAGCGAGTGGGCATGCCGAACATGAAGCCATCATACTTCGGCAGCTCGGACAGGAACTCACGCTCCAGCAGCATCACATCTGAAGGCTTCTCTGGGGCCCCCATAGCTTGAAGAGCTGAGGGTGGAAGGGTCTCTGGCACCTGAAAGAGGTCCACACTGACACCCGTGGACTCCAAACCCTTCTTGATCTCGTCTGCCACGACCTTCACATGGCCATAGGTGGAGTAGTAGACGATTGCCACGCTCGGGCCCGTCGCTTTCTTCATGGGAGGAAGGCCCTTCTGAATGGCTACCTCTGTTCCCATCATAGGGGCCTCGGAGCAAACGTTTCCCATGCTGAAGATGGCAGAGAGACGGGCGCGAAAGGGCGGAAGCAAAGGCGAGGGAGGCTTCGAGCACTGAGCCTATACGCAGCAGTCCATTGGTTCAGCTTGGTTCCAGCCTGGCTACCCAAACAGATCTGTGAATGAGAATGTGTTCTTGTCTCTCGGCGCTTGTGTCCGCTTTCGATTCCTGCACCACTCACTTTTGTGATGGCGATGGCGTGGAGGATGTGCCTGAGAAGCCGCTTGAAACGTCGGTTTTCCATCCTATCCGTCCCGAAAGGACTGATTTTCCAGGGGCGGAGACAGAGAATGAGAAGTCCTTTCAAAATCTGCGCTACACCCTCCTGAGTACCCTCCGGCTGCTACAAGGCCAAGTTCCCAAATTCGGATTTCGGCTCAGGGTTTGCTCTGCGTTGGCTTCGCTTCAAGTTTCCAAGGTTCTCTCTACTTAGGACCCCAAAGCACGGATCACAAGTCTTGAGAAAGTGAGCAGCTCCAAAGCCCTTCCTTGCGCAGAATCAGGAGAGATTTGCCCAGGGCGCGAAACGTTTGGTCATGGCTTTGCACTGAATCCGTGCATTCGCGGAGCTTCACGGCTGTCCCCAAGGAGGATGCTTAAGCCCAACAATGGCATGTTGGGTCTGGAACTGTTACACCCGATGCAGCAACAGCCTGACTACTCCATGATGCCAAAGTAAGAGTCCCTGAAGTTCGGGATTGCAGGGATGGAAAGCCCAGGGCATCGGAACTGGCCCCTGAGCCCAGGCACAAGTAGTGAAGATGCTCGCGATGCGGCCATGTTGTACCACACCTGCGCCGTTGTTGATGCTACGACTTCTGACAGGACTAAATGAAGACGAGGAAAGGATCTGCTGCAGTCCAGCGGTGGCCCCCGTCTGCACAGTAAACACCGCTGCATCTATCCGCCAAACTCGCTTTGGATACTATATGGGCTAGCTGCAGAAAGGGTGCTACAGTTACTTTTCTGTAAGGGAATTATGAAGGCTACTATAGTAGAAGCCAGAAACTTGGAACATCATTATCCCCATGCCCTACAACAGTACAAGGACCCCAACCTAAGGTACCCCTAATTTTCGAAAACTCCCTTATGGCAGCCTACAAGCCTTGCAGAACCCTGAAACGAAGCAATCTGCCTTGGCCACAAAGCTGGGCTAAGCCCCCGCTGCACAGGCCACCTTCGACGGACTCGCAGCATCGTCTTCGACACCCTCGGAGCGAGCTTCGTATACCATAAAAGGCGCTTCTTAATCCGCAATCGTGGCCCCTTCTTCGCCTAACTGTGGGGGGCAGCGCTTGGGGAGTAAACCCTGAAACCCTCATCCTGAATGCCTTAAACACCACACCCGGCTCCAATCACCAAACTGTGGAGCCTAACGCCTTAAACCCTCCTGCCAAAGCAAGAGAACCTGAACCCGTCAGCCCTAAACCATAAACCCTAACCCAAACCGCCAGACCCGAAATCTTCCTGAGCCCAAGAAGGCTCCCATGCCAGGCTCCGGAGATGGAGGTTTCAAAACAACTGCAAGAGAAGGCAACAGAGAGGCCTGGAGGATGTGCTTTACTGTAATTGCAATAAGAGCACTATTGCTTCTTATTCAAGCTGCTGTATTCGGAGTGTAGGGTTTAGGGTGCCTGGCATGGGGTGAGACTTCCGGTTGAATAGATTACCGAATCTGAACCTCTGAACCTGTCCGTCATAAAGTATTTCAGGAGTGATCCTTGAGGGGCACAAGCTCGTACTGCAGCAGCATCTTAGCAGTGTGATGCTATAACAGGCGACACAGTCTGAACATTTTGGGAACTCGCAAGGAGCGTAGCAATTAGAGCGAGCAATGATCTGTCTTGACACCGGCCACTTGTGGCGATTGAGACACCAGACAGCAAAGAAAGAGACAGTAAAGAAAGAAACATAAAGAAACCCCAAACCCCTCAACCTAAAAGGTCCATGCCCCGAGCCCTGAACCAAACTCCATCAAGCCCACCGCTCTCCGGCGGAGTTGGAAAGTGAGAGCATCCTTTTTCAGAAGTTCCTTCTAAAGGCGGTTTAGGGTTTAGGGGGTCCTGCCTGTTCTGGGGAACCCATCCTCAACTAGGCAAGGTGGCCGAGATCGCCAAGACAGCGCCGTCGGCCCCACCAGGACGAAGTTGCCGGGCGTCGTCACGGGCCACGGGAATGTGATGCTCCTCAGGGGGTTTCGAGAGAGGCCTTCATAATGAGAACAGGCTCTCGGGACGTATATCCAAACAAAATAGAGGGACGATTAAGGTGAGAAAACTACGAAGTTTGGGCCGGGGCCAGGGCAAGCTAAGGCCTAAGAGGGTTCATCCCCGAATTCCCAAAGCTCCAGATCCTTTGGGACGTCGAAACCAAAAACCCTGAGACCTAACCTGTGAAATGCTCCACCGTGCAGATTGCCTCCAGTCTCTTTGGCGAAGGCCCTAAGCCCTAAGCTGACCCATCGAAGGCCACGTGCTGAACAATTAGCCGTTTAAGGGTTGAGGGCTTTGGATGGAGGCATTTGCATTTGTCGCTCCTCCTTCCCCAGGAAATACTTCACGTTCACTGACCTCGCCGACACTCGGCAAACTCGTCCGTCAACCCACCTGAGTGGAAGGTGAAGTGGGTTCTCCAGAAACTGTGGCCTCGTGGCAGCCACCAGGCGTCATGGGATACAAAGGTAAGCTGCAGCTTACGTCTGCCGAACCAAAACAACCAATATTCACGCATTTGCGAAAATTCGGGGCCGCGGGATATCACAGTCTAGATATGCCTAGATCAGAGGGTTCTCACTTCGCGAAACTCACCATTGACTAGAGTTCCGATGTCCAGAAGCATGAACCGAAAAAACCCAACACACACCCTGAACCCCGAATTCCGGAAAACAGTGGCACCACGCACCTCCTTCTGGGCTTCGTGATGAACACGGAAACCAGGGAATCCTGCAACCACCGGTTCAGGGCCCAGGGGAACTGAGAAGCATATCAGCGTCACCTGAATGTCAAAAGCAAGAATAGGACACACCGTGTTGGTAGTAGCAGGTAGATGTTGCGAAGCGTGAGGAACACGGTCAGCAATCCTATGTATAGCTTTCAAAACCTAGGCGTGCTCCTCCACGCATGTCGTTTCTGGACATCCAACAGTCGCGGTTTTTTACGTAGATGGTCGTGATGCCTACAACCGGCGGGATAGCCATGATGGCTACAAGTGATATAGGGCCCTTAACAAACAGAACAGGGTTTGGGGGTGCATTAGAGTATCATTACATTCAGGAACCGGAAGGAAGAATGTTATTGAATACTCCGACCCCTGGTATTATGAAAATTGTTATTGGGGTGATTTACCGCTTACCTTGCCAGCCCCCTGAAACCACGGGAAGTCCTTCTCCAAGCGCTGTTGCCAACTTCCCTGGCTGAACTCCTCCCGCAAGAGCCTTCGCTTTGAGGTCCCCGCCCGCTAGGATCCTATCCGAACAGGTCTCTTAACAGCAATTCTGCCTCCTTCTGGAATCTGACGTACTGATATACAAGCAATCCAGTAGTGTCATGTCTAAGTCCACTCAGGCGCTGTCTGCTGCTCCTGCAGCAGCTACGAAAAGACCTCGAGAAACTCTTCGCAACAGCATCCAAGGGGCAGTTGCGCCTCCTTGAAGCCCAGTAATATCTCGGCCAAGGGCAAGAATCGACAAATCACGCAAACCATCGTATCCTAAAAGTCAGCCGTATCGATCAGGTCTTAGATTAGTCTTCTGGTGCTGCTGCACTCTACTCCAATAGGTGTTATGGGTCCAGAATCTCCAAGACTTGAGGATTCCAAGTTCTGGCCCTAAGGTTCGAGAGTGGAGAAGTTAGGACCGGACCGAAACCCTAAGACCCCAAACCCGAGACCCTGAACCCGAAACCCTCAAACCCACAAACCCAACGGCAGAGGAACGACCGTTCGCCCTGTCAAAAAGGCCTAGGGGCTCTGCTGGAGGGTGCGGGGGCTCTTTCTCTCTGTACGGGCTTAAGATCTGGCAGTTCGGACCTTCGAAGTTAAAAAGATAGGCTCCGGCACACTGGGGCCGGTAATGTCGGGTTTCTGTTTCTCTCCCAAAGGTCCATAGGCAACGATGCGGGCATCCATTCCCTGCGGAGGGTTTTAGTGCTGAGCTTGCTTTGAATATATTGGCGACAGAAGACTGCACCGGTATGATAGAGGGATGGCCACTGCTAGAACTGGAACTGATTCCGGACGTCATGGAGCTGTGTCAGGGCTTTCGCGTTCCGGTATTTGCTCGAAGCTGAGAAGTGCAGCAAGCAGTACCAGACGTTGAAACGTCAAGACCCCCAACTCTCTGGCGAAAACCCAAAAAGCAATCCTGTAACCAGTCCAGGCTAAGCCCCCGAAAGACCCAAAGATCGAAGAAACCGTGACCTCCTCTTCCTTTCACTTCAAGCGGCCACCGCGCCAACCACCACCCCGCTCACAGAAGCCACGCCAAGAACGAGGCCAGCGGGTGCTGCCGGGGAAGCCATGAGGCCCAAGCTTACCTGAAAAACAAGGGATGTCGGGTCTTAGGGCTCGGAGGTTCAGAGTGTTGGGGGCCCTAAGTTTAGGCGCGCGCGCCTAAAAAAAACTACCCTGAAGACAAAACCTACAGAGGAGCGGCCGAGGGAAGTGTACAAAAGTGTGGCAGGCGCAGCAAAATCGCACGTTTTGACCTTCCCCAGCGGTATTGTGGCAGAAGCAATAACGTGACACGATTTCGTGTCCAGTTTTCTGGGCGCCCTAGGCGACCATCAGTGCTATCATCATCGATGTCAACATCGCTATCATCCTCACAGCCACCATCGATATCACCATCATCTTCATCATTCTCATCATCATCGTTATCATCATCGTCATCAATGTGTTGAGCAGTGGGCTTTTTGTGTGCTGGGAAAAGCCGGCCTGAATTTATTCTCCGGACCTGGGCTGCAAAGCTAGTCTTACGGCAGAAGGCGAAAACACTGGTGGGGCCGATGACTTTGAAGGTCGCGGCAAGTTTGTTGAGGTTTGTGGGTGGAAAAGGTATGGGGCAAAAGGTCTTTGCACAGTCACCTTTGCCAGATCGCTAGGTCATCATCATTGCTACCACGATTGTTATCATCATCGTCATCATCATCGTTATCATCATCGCCATCGCCATCGATATCATCGTGACCATCGTAATTTTCATCATCATCGTTGTCTTCCTCGTCGTCAACATTTCGAGCGGTAGTTTTTTTTAGGCGCGCAAGCCTAAGTTTAGGGTTTAGGGTTTAGGGGTTCAGGGACTTAGGGGTTTAGGTTTGGCGGGTTTAAGAATTGATTGGACTGGAAGAGCAGAATCATCTTCAGCAGCGGCAGCAGTAATATGACAAGTAGTTACAAAAGTAGTAGCAGCGTTTGAAAAAAGAGCAGATCCACTTTCACGTAAACCAAACCGCCTCCATCGCAAGCCTAAACCTGCAACTCAACATACCAAGCTTGCCTTCGTATTGAGGATACACGTAGCAGACTATGATCTCCCAAATCCTATCTTTGCTACTGTCTTAACAAGAGCCACTGTTTGGCAGCAAGCCACAGGTGCACTCTAACCATGTGAAGCGTCAAGTCCTACAGAAACCGCGCATGTTATGATACGAGTACAGGAAGCTGTAGCGGTAGCCGCAGCGGTAGCAGCACAGTAGCCGTAGCTGCAATGGCAGCAGTAGCAGCAACAGTCGTTTTAGTAGTTGTCGTCGTCGCCGCCGCCGTCATCGTCGTCGTATTTGTAGGCCCCTTTTTTTAGGCCCAGCGGCAGCCACCGACCCAAGTGTCGGCGAGCCCGCAACGCAGGCGGATGGAGCCAGAGCAGCTGAGGCCACCGAAGCTGCCGACATGCCTTGGTTTGGGGGTGTAAGAGTTCAGGGGGTGGGTTTGGGGTTTGAGGGTCTTGGTTTCAAGTTTGTGGTTTTGACATAACCTTGGAATCTTCAAGCCCAAGTCCTGGACCATGAAAACGGCAGCCCGATTGCAAGCTTTGCACCTCATAATGCAAGGCTTTATAAGTTTTGGGGGCCAACATAGTATCAGTAGAATAGGAACTATCAGAGGATTCGTTTTGTAATTGTCCCGACACCAATAACGACCAAGACCCCCGGACCCCCACTCTCAGGCTCTCAGGCCGAAACCTTGCACGGTTTGGGGGCAAGGACTTGGGATTTGGAAACTGGAACTCATCTTGGAATCCTGGCTCATGGCTTCCCCCGAGACGGCACTTCGCTGGCCAAGACTATGCCCCGAACTTGAGCATGTCACCCTAAGCCCCCTAAACCCTAAAGCCTAGACCCTAAACCCCTGCCCTAAAGCCCAAAACCCTATACCCGGAAGCTCCAACCTTCCTCTCTCCTCAAAGCCCCAAAACCGGAAAGAACGAAAAGCAGCGTCGAGAAGCCGGTCACGACACCGGCCGCCGTGGCAGTGACCACACCGGCCGCCTTGAGCGGTCCAAAATGCACAACAGATGCAGCTTCATACATATACATATATATATATATATACATTTATATTTATATTTATATAGAGAGAGAGAGAGAGAGAATATATAGTATACAGACTGATACTATGGACCACAACCAAATAATAACAAGTCCCGTGGGCTTCCACGTCATGAAGCTTCGCGGGCTTACGGTCTAAGGGTTCGGGGTTTTCCGGCTCAGGGTTCTAGAGTTTAGAGATTCAGAAGTTTAGAATTGAGAAAGATCAGCAAGAAAGTCGTCCACGTACCATTGCTACATGCATTGTAGGAGCCTGGCTACCATGTCCTTGCAGTTCCCTGGCTTCCTTATCTCTAAGCTTCAGGTGACCAACGAGCAACAAAAGGCCCTTGCTACGAGATATACCTGCAAGCCCTGCTGGGACTAGTGGCCCTGCTACAAACTATCGTGCCGGGACGAAGGGGTGAAGTTACATTCTGTTTGCGTGGGCTTTTGTTCAGGATCCACCGAGACGTCTGGAACCCAAAATGGAGGGAGCCTGCCTACCAGTGCCCTGAGGGTCAAGATCCGAATGAATAGGGGAGCGCAAACTTTGCCAAGAACCTGGATCCCTGAAAGATTGGGGCCTGGACAATGAGGTCAATGAGTCCGAGACAGGACAACTCCAGAGCCCTTGAGATACTCGCCATCTGCTGTCTTGCGAATTCCTAGACCTATGAAACCCTGAATCTTTCTGAGGCCCTATACTAAACCCTCAAAGCCCAAACAAGCCCAAACACTAAAGCCTCAATAAGAAACCCGACTGCTGGACTCGCGGGCCAAGGCGCGCCGACCTCCAACAAGAGCTTTCCAAGCCTCTCGAGGGCTTGCACCACCCACTCCTGAGTCTATCAGGGACCAAGTATCTTGGAGCTCAGCGTCTTAGGTTTTGAGCATTTTGGAGTGCAGGGCTTGGGGTTGGGAGTCGGGCGCCCGGGGTTTCGGAGGTCCCTTCAGCTGAGGATCCTTGAGGGAGGTCGCGCAGGCGAGCACGGCTTTCGATACTTGGCCCAGTACGCTCTGCACCTGGGCAGTCGAACCCGTGTTCCTTTCTTGGAGAGGTTGTGTTCCAGCCTTGTCTCAATGCTGTGACTGTCTACGGTCTTTAAAGGGACCGCGGCAGGTCGCTCTGGACGGTCCACTATGCTGTAAGCGGAAAAACTATGTATGTAGCAGCTATGACCCTGCAAAATCCTTTAGAGCAACCCAGAACCGGTACAACTCCTGAGCGATCGTATACCCCCGAATCAAACTAAGGGAAAATCAGTGGAAGGAAGCTTCCTCTACATGCCCTTTCACCCTGAGTGGGGTTTAAGGTCAGTGTGACAAAACATCCTTCGAGGCAGGGGGCAGACGTACTCTTGAAGAGCTCCAAGAGTAGGGGGACCACAACGTAGGCCAGGAGCCAACCGTGGGTTGTGCCGGACACGGCAGCCTTTAGAAGGACCTGATATCAAGGGCCGAGATAGGTATTAGGATTCAGGGCTTGGGATCTAGGCTGCATGGTTTAAGGCTATGGTTGAGAATTGAGAAGAAAGTGCATGCGCCAGCTCGCACGAGAAGCTCCAGGAAGTTAGTTCTACTTCAGGGCTCCTCAGATTTCCGTGTTCTGCAGGACTCTCGAGTTCATCGTCCCGTGTAGGTCAGGGACCGAGGCCGCTGTTGATAGTAGAGCACAGAGGAAGCATAAGAACAGCAAGCCTAGGATCATCATCAGCATTAAACCCTGTTGAGGGTTTTGGGTAGCTAGGGAATGGTCATGCATTTCAGGTGCTAGCCAGATGTCAAGGCATGGGTGTTGACGTGCTTCGGGCTGATGGCGGTCATGGTAGCAACTGCTGCGTGCTTGACCGCTTGGAACGCCCTGCCTGTGCTGAGCAGTCGGCTATTTCGAGCCTCACGACTTGTCCGATTATGATGCCTTGGCATAAGGTCATGGATGTTCTGACGATGGCGCTTGCTCCTTTGTTGCTAATGCAGACGAATTCGGAACCTGAAGAAGTGTAGGGGGGGGCAGAAAAACCTTCAAGGACCCCTGCACTCAGAGCAAAGGGTCAAGGGTCCATGCTTAGACCCTAGCTATGTCGAAGCCAAAGCTATTGTACCTCCAGGACGACTGGCGCCAAGTCCACCAGGAGCTGCAACAAGTCCAGATTCCCACGAGCGAGGTTGTCGAAAATCTTCGAATAACTCCTGGTCTTTTCTTCAGCTCTCCTACCTAGGAGCGAATGTCACACCCGAGGTGGGCCGAAGTCTAGAGTCTAGGAACCCCCATCGGGAGAATTCTAGGATTCAGCCTGCTGAGCTGCCTTCGGCGTGAAGCCTTGATCCGATTCCAAATTTGAAATCGTTGGGCACGTAACCCTGCGACCCTCAGTACTTAGAAACCTAAACTGGTCTTTCGCCCGGGACTCGCTGAGAGCAGCTGGAGGGCGGTGCTCGAGACTCCCGCTTGGCGCAGCAGCCGCAGCAGCTGCAGCTGGATGAACTGCTTCAGCCACTCGCGTCCGAAGTCTTCCACTTGGCAGCTGCCCTTCCTTTCTCTAATTTGAGGGTGCAAACTGTGCGAAAGAAACTCATAAACGGTCGTGCGCAGGAAATACAAAGACACAACCTTGATCAACCCTCGCGCCGTTGAGCCCTGCCCCCAACGTATAGGGGCCTGAATAAGCTGAGGCCGGAGGAGGGCGGATCCCAGCACTTACGAAGTCACTATATATATATATATATATATATATATATATATATATATATATATATATGTATATGTGTATATATATATATATATAACTGTGTAACCTGCCTCAAGGCTACGATGATACCGCAAGTTTTCGCACCATCGCATTGCGCGATTTGCTAACTACACTATGCTACACTGTTCACTGATTGCCGTGATCGCTCTTTTCGGGGAGCACACCGAACCCAAAAAAAACATCAAGGCCGACCAGTGGCAGGCAGGCCTGGACAATTGGCCGCACCAAGGAGGCAACCCCATCCTACCGGTCGGCTGCCAGAGGGTTCACGGTTTGAGGATTCCAGGCCAGAGGCCGGGTTTACAGTTCGTTCGTACCTGATCCGTGGCTACTCGTCGTTCGGACGGGAACTACAGCCTGCCAGAAGCAGAAGCCAGAAAACTCCAACTTGCACAAAAGTACCTGAGGCTCAAAAAAGCACGAGCGTGAAAGCACCCCCCCCAACCCCCACTTCTCCCAGAGCCTCCAAGTAGGGGCTCAGGGCCGCCCAGGCCGAGGAGCTCTCCAGCAGCGTCTGCGAGGCCGTGTTGGAGAGGTTCGCGGCCATGCAGGACAAGCCAACGTCCAGTGCACCATCCAGGGAGGCCTGGACTTTCGAGGCTTCAAGCGGGCTTTAGGGCTTTAGGGTTTGGGCCGTTTGGGCTTTGGGGTTCCGGGCTTTGACAAAAATTGGCACACCCTGCGGGGCCTGCCGGAAGACTGCGCAGCTGCGGGCCAGGGCTTCCTTGCTACTGGCTCCCTGGCGTGTCGATGTGAAGAAAGCGGTGATGGCTGAGGCCGCGCCCCGGCCCACAATGCCTTAGCTGCTTCGCTCGAAGAGCTTAAGCCCGAAGCCCCAAAGCCCAAACACCTCAAACACCAAGCTTCTAAGATCTCAGCCTCGGCCCTGACCCAGAAAACTTTCGTCAGCACTGTCGAGTCGCCTTTCAATTCCGGTGTGGCTCCGAGGCTCAGCTGGTTCCGGCGGCTCCCAAACCAGGTCTCCACGAAGCTCTCGCGAACCTGAAGGTTTAGGCTTTAGGGTTTCGAGGGTGTCGGCGGGCTTTAAAAGTTTAATTGCCCGGGGTCTCGAACTCCAGGCAGATTGGGCTTGTGGGCTTTCGGTTCAGGGATGCTGGAGTAGAGTATGTCCGCTTGGCGGCTGCGGGCGAAGAGTGTGGAGGGCTTCGGCTTCGGAGTGGGCTCAAGGGGCTGACGCTGGTCTTTGGATGAGCTTGAGGTTTCGCTGATCTTGACAAGCCGTTTGGAACCCGACATCGATGGGGCACCTTGGTCTAAAAAAGCAGCAAGGCAGCAGGGGCGACCACTAGATAGGCCGCGGCGCGACATCGACTGTGATTTCACGTTGTTTTCCCTATGTCTCTGGTCAGACCAAAAGACCCTGAACCCCGAACCCTGAATAATGATTCCGTAGAACCTTCAACCCCCGGCTGCCCCAACTTCACTAACTCCGCAGTGCTACGCGTCACCAGGACATCCAAGGAAACTCGCCTGGGTCAAATAGCATGCGGAAGCAACTGCAAAGAAAGAAGCGGATTGATACATGATAATCACAAACGTAGCAGGTGCAAAAGGGTCAACAACAATGATTACCAGGATCAGAATCCCAATAAAACAAAAATAAGTACCCTTCCTGCTCTTTTTCTGAAGACCCGATGAATCTCATGTCTGACGCACTAGGGCCTTGCCTCCACCAGGAGAAGGAAGGTCTGAGTCTTTTCGCCACTCTGGCCCCAGAGCGTGGTGTCACGCAGCTCAGAGCAGCGATACCTCGTTTTCAAAGCTTCAGGTTTGGGGTCTGAGGCCTTGTCTGCAAGCTTTTGCAGTTTAGGTGAGTTACACAGCTTGTGCAGTGGCTTCAGAACCTGCTTCTTAGCAAGATTCGCACATGTTTTCAAACCGGGGCTTCCGGTGTGCGCAGGTCGGATAGACAAAGCCGTACTGTACCACGCTAACACAAAGGGATTGGGAGTATTCTGGCGCAAGGGGACTTTAGCGTACGAGTGTCGCTTGGTACGGGATTTAGGCTTGGGGTCCGAGTCTGCGGGCTTAGGTGTTGAGCTCAAGGCGGGAAGGATGAGAGGCCGGGGTCTTGGGAGGTGGTGTAAGGTGTTTGAAAGATGCATCAGACCTGTACAACTACCTGATCCGGCAAAGACTGCGGCAAATGCTTCGTCATGCCCGTGCAAGTAGAGGCACCACTCCAGTCCACAAATGCTTAGCGTCTTTCCCGACGTCTCGGAGAGTTGATACGGAACCTGCCAGGATTCAATGAATCCTGCCCGAAACCTTAAGACTCTGTTGTAAACTGCTTCACTCCGGTGTAGTCTGCTGAACTTAAACACACGCTGGTTTACGGCTTACTCGCTCAACTTAGAGTATCTTCAGCTGCAGTCTGAAAATGCCCTCCTGCCGCCCTTTCTACGCTACGCTTTGTTACATGGCCCTGGTTAAGTTTGGGTACACGCCGGCCTCCAACTTCAGACCCATCAAAGCAATCCCGGCAGAATGGGTGGTTTTCTTCCATTCCTGCTCTGCGGAGATAATGAAGTTGCCCGTGGCCGACTCGCCCCCTTCGACGTGAACACCTGAGGATCTTTCCTCATGAGGCTCCCCTGCTGGGATACTTAGTGTCTTGAACGGAGCCCTGATTTGGAACAGCCTCACCTGTGATGACACCGGAATTCAGGCTTCCGAAGCCAAGGACATGGCTCACGTTGACACCGGTAACATCCACAGCGCCTGCAAAGCCCCACACTTTCTCCGTGTCCCTTGGCTGTGGCAGTTCTGGACTTTGCGATTCTACTAAGCGTTGCACACTGCAAAACACACAAAAAAGAAAAGCAACAGCGAACGAAAGAAGGTCTGTAATGCTCCAAGTTGTAAGCTCTAGGCCATGCGGCCCAGACCCTGTACAAGCACCACGACATGCCCTACGCACAACCGGAAGCAACACCAGAAAAGTGACTCAACCCCAAGCCCGAAACCTCAGAAATGTGAAAACCGGGGACATCGAGTAGTCACCATTGGCCGCCTCACGTCGCTCCACCGTTTCTGTGACGCCCACGTTGCCAGAGACTCCCACCAGGCTCCCCACCCCAGTAGCCTGAGCTCATGTCAGGGGATCTCGGGAATCTAGTTTACAGAGGCCGAAAAACAGAACCAAAGGAATAGTAGTGGTCATTCTTCAGGCTTCTTCTACTTTCGGGGTTAACGGTCTCAAGGGTCTTCAGGGCTTCATAATTGCCCAATTGCCTCCCGAGGTCAGGCACTAGCAACTAAATAGTTCCGCATGAACCTAAACTCCAGGATCGGGAACCAGGACTCCGGCGCCGGTAGCGGCCAGAGCAGTGCCGAGACCTTACAGCAGAGCTCAACCAGACAAAGAGGACAAGTCTTGATAAGCTCCTTTGGCTTGAAGATTCGCTGGACTCCGCATTCGATTAAACCACTGCAGCTTGCAATCATTCATGCGCCGATAAGCACGTGAAGCGTGACTGAGGTCCGTGCCTGCCCTAAGCTGAACACCCTCCTCGTGAGAGCTGCGGGTGACGGTCGTGCCATCTTCCAGCTGCCCGGAACCGTAGCGGTCTCGCTGGCCAACTGACACCATGCTGCCACCCGCAAATTCCATACCTTTCCTCCCTTCTTCGTTGATGAGCTTCGTGGGGCAAAGCGGCACTCCGGCACCTGCCAGCACGCTTCCGGCAGCCTGCACAGCTGCCCCTTCTCCTGTGGCCTGTGCTGCTTTCGCGAGACGCTCCTGGCAGGAACCGCTCGAAGCGGCGAAGACTCCCAAGGCGGAGCCGGCCACGCCGGCCAAACGTCCGGGGCCGAGGACGCCCGAAGCGACCTCTTGCGATGCCGACAGCGCCAAGCATGCCTTTGCGGAAGCAGCCGCCCGGTCGAGCTTCCCCTCGCCGTCCCCAAACATCGCCACGCCACCGGCGGCGGCAGCCTCGCCAAGCACTGCTCCGGTAGCCTTGCTGCCTGCAACCTTCCCGACCATCTCGCCAGCAATCAAACCGACCACACCGACAGCACCCTGTTGAAGAACTTGCGAACCGGCGCCCTTCAGTGCTTGAGCGGCGTCTTCACCAGAGCAGAAGATCCGCTCTTCGTTGGCACGCCGCATCTCAAGCCCTCCCACCTCGATGCCCCTGCCAGCTGCATCCTTGACCTCCTGTCGGACACCAATGCTCCAAGAAACCTCCCCATCAAAGTAGGCCTTCCCAGAGGACCGATCCACGGTTCCTGAGCCTTCCTGGCTAGTGCTGAGGAGCAGTCCGTCGGCCTTCTCCACCACCTCCCCGGTCCTGCAGTCGAGCGTCACCTGAGGAGACAAGGAGACTTTTCTTATTTGGGGCCCTTTGGACTAGTGACTAGACAGCCCACCTCTTTGGATCCGAGTAAGTTCTCTTGCGCGTGCTTGAAGCTCAGCTCTTGCGATGCCACTTTCTGGCCCAAGACGCGGAGTTCCTCCTCGGCTTGTCGAGAGACCCTGTACACATCGCAGTGGAACTCTTCGGTGTTCGAACACTAGCTGCTAGCTGCTGGCTGCATACAAAGAAAACAACACCTTAGAGCGCGCGAGGCTCCTCGACTGTCTCCGTCGTGCGACTACCGCAAAGAGCGGCCTTCTCATGTTCCTTGCTTCTGACCGTCGCGTGGCCAGTGTCCAGATTCAGCTTCTCCACTCCTGAGATTTCAGGTGTCGGGGCTTCGCTACCACCGGATGAAGCCGCATCGAAAAGGGTCACGAATGAAAACGGTCAAGCATACACGGCATGCACTTCTCTGCGAGGCGCCCACGACATCCACACCACCAGCGAAACCATGGAGCGCCTCCGCATGCTGCGAGTAGCTGCCATCCATTCGCTCCACCAAGTGGCTGCGCTGCGTGACTCCAACGTTGCCCGAGATACCGACCACGCTGCCCAGTCCCGAAAGCAGAGCGCTCGGGTTGCCAGATGCCGCAAGTGCCGTGCCTAAGCCTGAGCCAGCTGCCCTACCAACACCATCACCACTCAAACCTCCCTGATAAAGCAAACCAGAAGTTGCGCATCAACCAGTCACTGAGGTCCGTGCCTGCCCTGAGCTGAACACCCTCCTCGTGAGAGCTGCGGGTGACGGTCGTGCCATCTGCCAGCTGCCCGGAACCGTAGCGGTCTCGCTGGCCAACTGACACCATGCTGCCACCGGCAAATTCCATACCTTTCCTCCCTTCTTCGTTGATGAGCTTCGTGGGGCAAAGCAGCACTCCGGCACCTGCCAGCACGCTTCCGGCAGCCTGCACAGCTGCCCCTTCTCCTGTGGCCTGTGCTGCTTTCGCGAGACGCTCCTGGCAGGAACCGCTCGAAGCGGCGAAGGCTCCCAAGGCGGAGCCGGCCACGCCGGCCAAACGTCCGGGGCCGAGGACGCCCGAAGCGACCTCTTGCGATGCCGACAGCGCCAAGCATGCAGATGCGGAAGCAGCCGCCCGGTCGAGCTTCCCCTCACCATCCCCAAACATTGCCACGCCACCAGCCAGGGCTGCAGAAGCGACGCGCAAGGGAGCCTGTGGTAGACCGTCACAGGCCCGCTCGATCCTTTCCTTCGCAATCAAGGCCCCGACTTGCGCTGCACCTTGTGCAGATGCCTGGCCCAGGCCAGACAGAATGGCTTCGTTCTCCTGCTGCTCAGATATGTACAGCTGCTGCTCGTTTCGCTTTCTGGCCACAAGAGCTCCCACCTGCGAAGCGGAGACAGGTGCAACTGCAGGCCACCTATCGATCTAGCTCTCTTCATCCGAGTGTTCGTCTACCTGTACATCAAGGTGATTCTTGTTTGCCTGGATATGATATTCTATATCTCACTTGTTTTGCTTTTTCTCTCTCTCTCTCGACATTTCTCTGTCTCTCTCTCTCGCTCTCTGTGCCTCTTCCCCGGCAAAGGTACGCCGTCCCATCCCACTCGCGCACCTACGTACTTGTGTCTTTATGCCTCTCTCGCGCTCTCTCTCTTCCAGCCTTCCAAGTCAACTTTCGCTAACTGGGTCTCATCAGTGTGTTCCTTCCCTTCTTCTCCCGAGCGTGCGAAGGATATCACCAGAAAGAACGAACCCGTCTCGGCCTGTGCCCATGCTACAGAGCTAGCAGGAATTGCAAGCCATGATGCGAGCCTCCACACCCTGGCCGATAGCCGCTTTTACCTCGTCCCGCAGCTCATAGCTCGTTTTCTCACACTCCACCATGCGAGTTTCCAGAGTCTTCTTGTCCAACTCCCCACGGCCTGACTGCCGGGTCTGAAAGAGCTCGCCCTTGTTGGACGTCACCTTGGGCTTCCAGCATGTCGTACACTTGACTGTCTACAAACCGGAAGCTCCTGTGCATTCAGATCCAGAATACGACACACCCTGAACTCGAAGCCAAAACCCCAAGCAGTGAAGAAGGGCAACACCCCTCCAAACCCGAAATGGTGGCCGCAAAGGAGCTGTTTCATAGAATTCGGAGTGCCCGATGGGTGCATCCACAGGGCTGGCATTCTTGTACTTTGTCGTCTTTGTGCCATCCTCTAGGAATCGGGAGCTCAACAGCGAAACACAAAACGCTACGGGGGGGGGAGTAGGGCGAATAATTGCGGCTTCTTGGTGCTTTTGCCAATGCGGCCTGTGATTTTCGGCTCTTGGGACGAAGGCTGACAAGCGTGGATCCCCGACAGTCAACTTGGTTCAAGGTCGAGGAGAATCCCCAAGCCAGGCCCGAAGAGACGCTCTTATACACTGCGTGTTGGGTTTAGAGTTTAGAGCTTAGGACCTACCAGTAGGATTTCATTGACACACATCCATATGCGTTCCACAGCGAGAAGACAGACCTTCCGTTCCTGGCCGCCCAGTCCTTGGTTTTCTTCTCTGCTGTGTAGTCGATCTCCTCCATCCCATCTGCACGACACTTGGTCTTGACCTGGGGATCGTTCGAGCTTGTCGTTCTGTCCCTTTATGCGGGGGAGGAACCCTACATTTCCAGTCTGTAACTTCGGACACGTCAACTCAAGTGTCGAAGCCGTCGCACCTCCACGAGCTCCCCCTGCGCATTCGTGGTAGTTCGAGAGCCACCTCCTTCGACTATGCCTCCCTTTCTCCCCTGGGCAGCTTCTGCTTGTTCTTCTTGAAGAGGATTCTCCCGCGGCGAGCCTGTTTGCGGATTCTTCCACCTCGAGCGATCCTTGTTATCCGTAACGAGCCCGACTGGTGGCCCCTTTGTGCCTTTGGCGAACTTGCCCTTGTTTTGACCGGCAATCACGTGTTGGCGATTCGATTTCTCGTTGTACTTTGCGTATGTTTCACCATCGATTTTGCAATCCTCCTTTTTGCAAGCCTGCGTCGGCCACCAAGCATTCACGATGCCATTTCGGTTCACCTCTACGTGGACACGCTTGTTGTTCTCATCCAGCAGAACTTCTGTGCAGAAGTAATCTTTGCCCACATCGTCGCAGATCTTTGCCGGATCGGTGTGCCCGTACTTCACGGCCATGGCCCTAGAAAGGGCAAAACTGAAAGAACCAAAGAACAAAATGGCCCCTTTACAACTTACAACCAGGCACTCCAAGCTTCCCTGCGCTGGCCTCTGAACTTCGGGTAGCTCCTCATGGCCCAGCCCATGCTTCTCGGAGGCTATGTGCTCCTTACGCGTCTCCTTCTGACCACTCGGCGTCGGTGCGATCGGCACACCCGGCCGCTCCTGATCCTTTGCAGCCTGCTCTTGAGGCTGTGCCTCATCGCCGGCCGATTCACTACCTGGACTGGGATCTTAAAAAAGTATAAACTGGCCACACAAGCCAACGCGGGACCCATCGTGTTTTGCCATGTTGATTTCTGATTGTTGTTGGGCATCACCAAGGACATCATGATTCAGCCTCAGCCTCAACTCTCGATCAGAAATACAAACAAGCAAAACTCGAATCTCATACAAAGCCTCAAAACCTGCAGTGTTTTAGACTTGAGGGTTGCAATCGGGCATCAGTTGTCAGCGGCCTGTACACGCGGGGTCGGAAAAAAGGAACTCGGAATTCTGGACCCCAGTTTCGGGCGTCGCACCATAGCCCTGGGAACTTGGCCTTCGCCAGAGCCTCTGAACCCTGCGACCTGGCCCTAAACCCAAACCTTCACGGTTCGTTCATTGCGACCTGAAACTTAAAGTCTCAAAGCCCTTCTTCTTTGGACAGGGTCACATGGCTTTTGCGGCGACATCTTGCAGGGGGAGGCGCAGCCGGCTACCGCAGGGCGCAGGGCCCTCGAGCCCAGCGTCGAAGCTCTCAGAACTTAAACCTCGACGCCCAAGCCGAAATCGAAATTTGAAATCCCAAAACCCTGAACACTAAAGCAAGGAATCTAACTCCCAAGAAACAGGCTGGAGTTCGGGTTGGTCCAGGGAGTGGAAGGTGCCGGGCTATCTCCTTCAAAGCCTTGAAAGCCCGTAGCGAGTCCTACAACAATCCAAGGCCTCAAAGTCTGCATCACGGCACTGAAAACTGAGAGCCCTGCACCCCAAACAGGCCCTAACCCGAGAACCAGTTTAGGGCTCAATCCCCAGAGCCCTGAACTCTAGGGTTTAGGGTTTAGGGTTTAGGGTTTAGGGTACCACTGATCCTGAACACCCTGTGACCGTTCAGGCCGTCGACACTTCAAAATGACAAGAACTCCTGGAGAGCCCGGAAACAAGCCTATGCCTAGGGCCTAGGAAGTCCGGCAATGACCGGGGGAAACCCTCCATCAGCCTCTGCCTTGTCATTCCGGCCTCCAGAACGGGACTAGAAGACAATTGGCCCGAAAGCATCATCAGCGAAGAGTGTGGGGCTATGTGATAGATCCAGTGTATAGGATCGTAAAGTCACAGAATCAAGAGTCATAGAGTCCATGAGTCATGAGTCATAAAGTCATAGAGTTGCAGTGACATAGCGTCATAGAGTCGTAGTGAGATAGAGTCAGTGTATAGGATCGTAAAGTCACAGAATCAAGAGTCATAGAGTCCATGGGTCATGAGTCATAAAGTCATAGAGTTGTAGTGAGATAGAGTCACAGAGTCGTAGTGAGATAGAGTCAGTGTATAGGATCGTAAAGTCACAGAATCAAGAGTCATAGAGTCCATGGGTCATGAGTCATAAAGTCATAGAGTTGTAGTGAGATAGAGTCACGGAGTCGTGGAGTCATCTTTGTACCATACACTTGACTCGATGTAGTTCACTCTATGCCCTGTGTGTGGGAACGCTTAATCAAGATCCGCCTAGCGTGAGGGCTCAGAGCCTGACTCAACAGGTCAAGTGGCAACTTGTCAGAGGGATTGGCAAATGCATAATATATGGATACTATACATATAAATATATATATATATATATATATTATATATGGAAATGTGCCTGGGGCCACTCGTCCTTGGCATTCCTGCCTCTCAAGTTATGAAGGGTGGAACGCCTCACATCGTCCTCATTGTACCAGCGGAAACACCAGCTGCAGAAAATGGCGTTATTGCAAGAAGCTTCACTGACTTCACAATAATAGAGCTGCGAATGAGGACAGAGTCACAGGTGACTGACTGGTCTCTGATCAGCCATGGCACATCTTAAAATCTTCCTGAAGACTTGGCTTTTTTTACACACACGCACATTCTTCTCGTGGCGGCGTCGTTGCTTGCTTGCTCTTTCGCAAGACAGCGTCGAAGCAAGCAAGCAACGTCCCAAAGACCGGCATCGGAGAGGCGGCCTGAGGAGGTGCCGGGAGAGGTCATCCCAGGGATTACGGTGGTCCGGAGCCTCGTGAAAATGGCTGATTGTAGTTGCAAAGGTTCGTCGGGAGCCCCGAGCCTCCATAGCACGCATTATACCAAGCCAGGGTATAGGGGTATAGTATCATGGAAGAAGAAACATAGCGGCAGCTGACAAACATCCCCAAACGGAAGCCGCAACACTGGTCTCTGAAAGGAGTCGGGAATTAGGGTTTCGCTCTTCATCTCAAACCACAAAAGGCCAGCGTATGTTACTTAGCCGATTCAACAGACTCCAGGGGAACGCCAGGGGCTTATGGGTCCTTAGGCCTAGTAGTAGGACTAATGCAGGGATCATGGTGGTCCAGAGCCTCCTCCAGAAAGATTGATTCTAGCTGCAGACATTCATCGAGAGCCCCAGGCTTCGGTGACACCCTGTGTATCAACCCAAGGTATACTATCTCAGAAGAAGAAACCCGGCGGCATCTGGCAAACATTCCCAAGCGGCAGTCACAACACGGGTCTCTCAAAGGATGATTGGGGATTTAAGATCTATCCTATACCACAAACGGGTCCACCTCGCTGAGCTGCTGCGCGATCCGTGGCGCCGGGATTCCAGCAGCGAAAGGCAGTGCAGTCATTAGGGATTTGGAAAGACACCGTTCCGAAGTGAAACACCTTACTTCACCAGGAAACCCGCCAGATGCCGCAAAGTATTTAACGTGCCACGCAATCGAGGAGCTCCTGCGTCTCGATGAGCCTTTGTCTGCTCACAGGACGTCGCGGCCAGGAGGAGAACACCGAGGCATTGGGAATCACTACGCTTCCGCCGCACCAATGTACCAATGCGAGCACTTGAAGTTGCCGTTGACGGTTCGCCCATCATAGTTCTCGCTCGGCAGCCTTCGATTGTCAATCGGCCTGAGACGCCCACGGTACCTCACAACTTCATGGTGCACTCCTGCTCCGTTGACGGATCCATGTGCTTCATAAATGCACGCTTCGTGCAATGCGTTGTCTCTTTAGCACACAAACACACACACACACATACACACATACAACTGGTTCGTGGGAGTTCGCAAGATCAAGTGAGACCACAGAAGCCTGCGATTTGACTTCGATCTATGCAGAACAACAGACCTTACACTGCATCACGAAGCATTTCGGAGTCGGGTTGGGGGTGGAGAGCCAGCGCGGGAGGAACCTGGACCTAGACCGGATTACTCTTCCCAGGCGACCCTCCCCGGCCTTCGTCGTCAGCATCGGAGAGGTGGCCTGGTGAGGTGCTGGGAGAGGTCATACACGAGTTACGGCGGTCCGGAGCCTTGTGAAAATGGCTGGTTGTAGTTGCAAAGGTTCATCGGGAGCCCCGAGCCTCCATAGCACGCACTGTACCAACCCAGGGTATAGTATCATGGAAGAAGAAACATAGCGGCAGCTGACAAACATCCCCAAACGGAAGTCGCAACACTGGTCTCTGAAAGGAGTCGGGAATTAGGGTTTCGCTCTTCATCTCAAACCACAACAGGCCAGCGTATGTTACTTAGCCGATTCAACAGACTCCAGGGGAACGCCAGGGGCTCATGGGTCCTTAGGCCTAGTAGTAGGACTAATGCAGGGATCATGGTGGTCCAGAGCCTCCTCCAGAAAGATTGATTCTAGCTGCAGACATTCATCGAGAGCCCCAGGCTTCGGTGACACCCTGTGTATCAACCCAAGGTATACTATCTCAGAAGAAGAAACCCGGCGGCATCTGGCAAACATTCCCAAGCGGCAGTCACAACACGGGTCTCTCAAAGGATGATTGGGGATTTAAGATCTATCCTATACCACAAACGGGTCCACCTCGCTGAGCTGCTGCGCGATCCGTGGCGCCGGGATTCCAGCAGCGAAAGGCAGTGCAGTCATTAGGGATTTGGTAAAAACACCGTTCCGAAGTGAAACACCCTACTTCACTAGGAAACCCGCCAGATGCCGCAAAGTATTTAACGCGCCAAGCAATCGAGGAGCTCCCGCGTCTCGACGGTGGCCAATCCCTGTGGAGACTTGCAGACGGTGCCACCCCTTGTGCTAGCGGCGCTCCACAGGAACCGTCATCCGCGCCATCGCGGCTGTCATCATGCTGATACCACCAGAGCAGGTCCAAGCCTCCAAGCGGCCACATTCTGTGGCGAGGCAGCCAAGATGACTGCAGGGCAGAACGTCAAGAGCCAGCTTCTCGTTTGGCCAGCACGACGGACTCGCGGGTTGGACAAGCCGCGCATTTGGAGTAGTGCTGCCTAGGCGAACACAACGGACTCGCAGGTTGCTTGCACAGGCCGCAGGCACCGTCCCGCCAAGACAAGCCGCGCATTTGGAGTGGTGCTGGCTAAGCTCGTCTGAAGGGTTGCAAAGTGTGCCATCTCAATGGCGACTTCTCAAGAGGAAGAACGGATCATTCAAGAATCCAAACAGTAGCAGTGGGCAACGAAGCTAAACCGGGACACCGGGTTGAGCAGAACCCCGAAGACCTTTCGGCCACACAACGGAAATTCTGAACTTGAACCAACCAAGCCCAGCAGTCCGCAGTGGGAAACTCAGGAAATGAAGAGGTTTCTGTTAGACCGACCCTCCCAGCCTCGAGGAATCCAAAGCGACCGGGCAGTGCAGGCAACCTCAGGAGCAGGGTTGCCCCGCCCAAGCAGCCGCACTTTCGCAAGTCGCGGCGCCAGAAACAACAAACAAGCACACATACACACATACAACTGGTTCGTGGGAGTTCGCAAGATCAAGTGAGACCACAGAAGCCTTCGATTTGACTTCGATCTATGCAGAACAACAGACCTTACACTGCATCACGAAGCATTTCGGAGTCGGGTTGGGGGTGGAGAGCCAGCGCGGGAGGAACCTGGACCTAGACCGGATTACTCTTCCCAGGCGACCCTCCCCGGCCTTCGTCGTCAGCATCGGAGAGGTGGCCTGGTGAGGTGCTGGGAGAGGTCATACACGAGTTACGGCGGTTCGGAGCCTCGTGAAAACGGCTGATTGTAGTTGCAAA